CTGTTACAGAGATGCCCCGGCTGCCAGGCAGTCCAGTACGGCTGCAATGCCAGTCCCGAGCATGGACTCCAGGGGGAGGAGGGGTTTGGGCCCAGCACTGAGAACCCAGCCTCTGCATACGTTCAGGGCCCCAGGTGACTCTACCAACCTCCTGCCCTCAGCCCAGGGAGCGAGCGTGAGCCTGGGGCACAGCTGTGCTTCCTGTGGGTCTAGGCTGGGCCCCAAGGGTATGACTAGGGGGCCCCCTGGAGCCAGTAACCGCAGGAGGCCTGCTGGGAACTCTCAGGCCCCTCACAGACGGGAGGGGAGGGAGGGGCCTCCGTGCGCTCGAGGAGGCTGCCTGAGCTTCCACCTCCCAGGGCCCAGCAGGTCCAGGCCTGTCCGGTCCCTCCTGTGCGGCCCCAGAACCAGGCTCTGGCCCTGAGTCCCGCCCTCCGGCCGGCCCAGCAGCTCTGCACACAACAGTGAACGGTGGGTTTCACCGCTGGCAGAGACGCGTGGGCCGACAGCTGGCTGCGTGCGCCAAGCCCTGCGTGTCACCCCCCAACCCCAGCCCCCCGTGCGCTGCGTTCACGGTGACAGAGGGACAGAGGGACAGACGAAGGACAGCTGGGGGAGCCCAGGACGGATTCCTCCCCCGCGGGCTTGGCGGAGGTTCCGTCTGCTGGCGCGCAGGAGGGATGCAAAGTGAGCTTGGTTTTAGCAAATCTTCTCTCTGGGATATTAAAGATGTAAACTCCCTGTTCCCACAGAGAAGCTGTGAGTCCAAACGTTAACACTGAACGCAGATTAACAGAGCGACGATGGGAGCTGGGGTGGGGGAGGGGGTGGGATCGCAGGCCCCAGGCTTCGGGAAACAGGAACCCCTAACGACCAAGCAGGACCCGCGAGCCCCACAGCAGGCTCGCCGACCAGTCTGCTGGTGCTTACTCATCTCGGTTCAGTCGCTTCCATCGTCGTCTCGGGGAAGCGCTCACATGCTCCCGGGACAAACAGCATCTCTCTTCCTGGGACGGAAAACAGACTCCTCGTCTTCAATGAAGTGAGCGACGCCAGGCTGGGAGTGGGGCCATGGGACTCAGTCACAGCACAGGCCCCGTGAAGCGCATGCGCCCGCGCTCCCGGAGGGCCGAGCAGTTAGGCAATGATCACACACACACACACACACACACACACACACACACACACACACACACACACACACACACACAGTTGTAATAAAAAATTAGCCCTCTGTCTTCATGGTTTTGTTTATTATTTAAATATATATATATATATTTTTTTTACTGATTTCAGAGAGGATGGGAGAGGGAGAGAGAGAGAAACATCAATGACGAGAGAGAATCAGTGACTGGCTGCCTCCTGCACGCCCCCCATGGGATCGAGCCGGCACCTGCCCGCACCTGCCCGCAGGAGGGTGGGAAGCCAAGGAACCGCTCTGGCCTCCAGAAAGGAAGGACTCAGCAGGCAGGAGAAAGGGCAAAGGAGCGGAGCTGAGCGCAGACAAACACAGAGACAAAGGAGCTCCAGGAGATGCAGGGGAGGGAAGGCCGCTGGAGAGCTGGGCCTCCTTCATTTGCAAGGAGCTCTGAGCAGGTTCCTTCCCCTGTGGAGACCAGAGACGTTAGGCCTTGGGTGGAAGGGCCTCGGCCGCAGGAGGCAAAGCCACAGGAAGGAGGCAGCGAGCACCTGCCAGCGCGTAAGGCTTGGGCGGCGACCATTTCCAACAGGCAGTGATCAATCCCTTTTCAAAACGACAGCAACGTTCCTGGACATGTAACCCAAACCAACCACAGCCCAGCGCCCACTCAGATGCCTCCACAGGGAACGTGCGGGGCTCTGGCGGCAGCACCAGGAACGGCATCTTCCCGCCTCGGTGTGAACGTGCCCTCAGGTCTGCCTCCGTCTTCGTGACTGTGATCGAGCCGCTGCAGGGCACTGCCCGGCGATGGGCCCGACTGGCTGGTAAGTCCCAGACGCGGGGCCTGCGACGCCTCCCGTGCTTCCGTGCACACAGGCTGCGGCCCCTCTCCGTGCGCCTCTCTCCTAAGGGACGCTGTCGAGAGGAATGACCGGGAGGGGCTGGGTGTCCTGCTTCCAGGCACCGGCTGGAGAGACGCTGCCTTCGGAGGGACGTCTGAGCCCACCTGGGAGGTGTCCGCTAGGGCAGGGTGGCCTGTGCTGGTCCGCGAGGTCCGAGGGCCTGGCGACCGCTGCCCTAGGCCCATGTTCTTACTGGTTTCTGCCTGACGACCTACCCGCCGTGGTCACACTGAATCCACAGACCAACTGAGAACTGCCGTGCTATCAGTGTCGACTTCCAAAACATGAACGCGGTGCATTTCTCCATTTATCTAGGTCTGTAACCTCTTAGCAACGTTTCATGGTTTCAGTACTTTTGTTAAATTTATTCCTATTTTAGTTTATTTTTAGATGCCATTATAAACTAATTGTATTTTTCCATTTTCAAATTGTTTATTGATAATATATATAGAAATACAATTAACTTAGTTTGGAATATTGGCTTTTATGTCCTGTAATCTTCTTAAAGACTATTTTTTCTTTGACTCCCTATATATTTACCTATAGTGTCATGTGACCTGAGAATAGCCTTACTCTTCATTTCTAATCTGCATTCTTTCATGTCTTCTTCTCTGGGTGGGATCTGAGGAGCGAGGGTGAAAGCCGGCACCGGTGGGAACGTAGAGACCAGACCCCGAGCCCTGCAGCCTGGTGTGGGTGAGGCTCGCCTGCGGCACTACCAGCCGGACGGGAGGCTCACGGCGCTTCCAGG